ATTCGGATATAAATTCGGATATAAATTCGGATATAAATTCGGATATATATAAAACCACAAGCAGAAGGAAAGGAGTGACCTCGCACCTCAGTCAGTGCCACAGCCGAAAGCGAAGCAGCCTGCAGGGGAGGCGGCACGGACCAGCCGCAACTAGTCCCTCAGAGGGCTTCCCCCATGAAAAACGAAGTTTTTCCTCCCTGAGGCAGAGGTGGGAGGAAACCCTTCCCAACCACACAGCATTACCAGCCAGTATAGACCCACTAACCTGCAGGGAGAGCGCCAAGAAGCCCCGAGGAGCGGGAGTCCCGCCGTCACCTCCCAGCCGAGGGCAGCTCTGAGGGAGCGAGTTAATGAAGCCTCCAAAAAGGGCGGGAAACTGTGAGGGGCGGGGGCAAAGAAACCTTTAAAAGGGGAGGAACCGGGGAGGGGCAAAGATTACTCCAAAACGGAAGGAAACTGTGAGGGAGTACGGGGCAAAAAAAAGCCTCTGAAAAGGGAGGGAAAGTGTAAGCAGCAAAGAAGGCTCTAAAAGGGCAGGAAAGTGTGAGGGAGCGAGGCGCAAAAAAGCCTCTAAAAGGGCAGGAAGTCCTGAGGAGCAAAGGAAGCTCTAAAAGAGCGGGAAACAAGACTCTAAAAGGGTGAGAAGAGGTGAGGGGGGAAAAGAAGGCTCTAAAAGGGTGAGAAAGAAGGCTTCAAAAGGGCGGGAAACTGCGGAGAGGCAGTGGGCAACATTTCTGCCCTCAGACCCGCCTCAGGACCAGCACCCAGGTGAGGAAATACTGGTACAATCTCCAGGTGATTGCTCGCTCAGCTGTGTTTGGCAAGTTCATTTTCAGTGCTCATGTTCTTTTTTTTCTTTTGGCGTTTTTTTTTTTTGTTTGAGGTTTCTTTTTAATTTTGTCCTAAAAGCCCCCTCAGAGGCTTGTGGGCAGCCACAAGGGACCCCAGACCGTCCCCCCCTCCCATGAAGTGCCTCCCTCAGTGCCCCACACCCGAGTGAATAAAACACCCTCAGGAAGTCCTGTTTAAGAGAGACACCAAATGAGCACTGCTTGCACGTTATTTAAGGAGACTCTTTTCCAGTGTTCCTGAGATCTTGGTAGAAGGTGGATATCAGCACGAGAAGTGGTTTAAAACCAGGTTGCTGGTGAAGGGGCTGAGTTAGGATGGCTGAGCAGCCCCACTGGCCCTGCTCACCCAAACACCACTCGCATCTCAAAGATGTTTAAGCTAAATCACAACTACAGCAAGCTAAACACAGAGCAGGTGACTAATTAACAATGGTTCAGTGCTGATGACCAGTTGTTCATTACGCCTGCACGACTAGGTTCTCTCTACAAGTAAGTTTGTAGGATGTTTACACAGACTGACAACAAAACTTAGGCTCTGTAAAGTCCAATAGAGAAATTGTGATTACATTTCTTTTTTTTTTTATTTATTATAGGTGATTGTTGAAACGGAATGGAGAACTATTGTGGCAGCATTGGTATGAAATTTATAAAAGAAATTATTGATTTATATCATGCATGTGGCTGTTTATTCTGAGGATTTTTCTATAGAGCAAGTAATGTTTTATGAAACATGAAATGCTATTTTAAAAATCTGAAGAAACAAGGAACGGTGGAAACTGACAACACTTCAAATCTAACACAGCCTCTCCAACACTGATTACTAGTTTATGCAGTGTTTGCTTTTCTAAGTAATTTAAGCAACACATTTTTAAATGTCGTCTGTTATCCATCTCCTGCATGTTTAATGACTGCTGTGTAGTCAAAAGTCTGGAGGATTCTGTAAACTTTCTTTTACATGGCTTACAAATCTTCTTACTTAAACCATAGTTGTTCCCATTTTCAGTCTGAACCAAGAGCAGTCTGTGGAAGCCTAATGGCAGCGTTGCTTTGTTGCAGAATCTCACAATATCTCCTCTTTAATAAAAGAAAAGGAATTCTTGTCCCATTTTCCTCTCAGTGTGGCAAATGCATCCTTTTTATTTCAATCTCACTGTTTTTCATGTATTTAAATACTGTTCTTACTTTTGATTACTTCTTAAATCTCTCTGTATTTCACCTATTAAATTCTGCGTTTGTGATTTTTGTGGATTCAGGCACACTCAGCTTTACTTTTTGAAGGAATAGTTCCATTTGTGATTATCACTAGCTTGATACGATATTCTGACTTAAGCAATTGTCAGCACCTGTTAGATTTCCCAGGTATTAATAAAAGTAATATCTCAGTAAATGTAGTTCATACTCCTTTCCAGTAGCTAATGTAGTTATGATATATTGATTAGATCTTCTACCTTAAGATGTTACTCTAATTATAAATAAATTTCAGCTGTTCTTCTTTATATCCTCTCTTCACTCTCGCACTGAGTTTTTGGTCCAGATTCAAAGGAACAAACTGCAGACTTAAGCTGACAGATCATTGTATCTAACAGCAAATACAAGGAAGTATTTAGTAATTCTAAAACTTTCATGTTATCTAGGGTATCATTTTTCCTTATTTATGTCATGAACAGGGGAAGCACAGCTGGAAATCTCATTGTACAAGCATGGGAAGCTTTTACCTAGTCATTTAAACAGTTTAATCTTACTATGTGCTGATGTAACTGTGAAATGTGTTCTCTTTGCATTCCTAATTACTATAGAACAGATGGCAAGGCTGCTACTTTAAAGCAGCAAGCCTATTTTAAAAACTCTGTGGTGATTCTTCACTCTTAAAGAAGTTTACTGTGATCTGTGTAGGGGGGAAAAAAAAGCTCCTTTTTTTTTTTTTTGGCTTCCGTGGTGCTAACTTAACATTCTAAATAATTTCAGCATGTTTTCAAAGATTCTTGCTAGATTTGAACAGTTCCCAGAGAAGAAGTTACCTGCAAGTGTATGATTTTCATCTAATTACAGGGGAAAAATGTCATGACATTTGTAATACAGAGCACCATGAGCATCTTATTGAACACGAACACAAGTTAAACAAATGTGTATTTCAGGTATCATAAGTTGATTGTAGCTATAGCAATAGCTCACTTTTTATTTTTTTAAACAAACAAACAAAAAAAGAGGGGCATTTATAAAAGTCATCATTAGGTATAGAGCTGCTATTTTTGAATCCCAAAGATTTTCTCAAGTTCTGAATAACCATTAGAACAGCCCTATACTGAGAACTGGCTTTAATATTCTGCTTTTTATTCACGAGAACACAATAAAACAGAAGGAAAGAAAAACTTGGTCAAAATTAATGCATTGTGAAGTCAGTCTACCTCTGCTTATTAGTTACGTCAAAAACCTTGTTGCTTTGTAATATTCTTTCAAAATCCTGTCCTTGAATTCCATGTTCTTAGTCATAGTCAGGAAAGGCTTTTTGGGAAGTACTAGTGAGGTAAGTTTTCTGTGAAGGCTTACCCTGCAACTGTTTTATTATTACACTGTTACCTATGCAGATTACCTGCAATGTAAGTATGCTGAACACATTTGCTAGACACATAAACCATCACAAGCTCAATTCAGAATTCCCATTGGCCATTTCTGCTCAGTGGAGGTTTTTCTTTTTTTTTTTCTCATGTTTCTCCTTAGTAGTGACCCACTGACTTGTCCCTTGTCTGCTCGGTACCGTTTCCAGCTTGTTTGGGTTTTGTTTTAATTTGGAGTGCATGTTTTGGTTTTATATGGATCATTCAAAACACACCGAGACACAGCAAAATGTAAATTACAGCACTGTTGGAATTTACTCTGCATTCACTTGGTTTTGTCTGTGCACTGCAGTTCTTGGCCCAAACTGTTCTTGTCTCATCACTTTGCAACTAAGCTGAGAACATGGAATTTCACTGGGCAGAATTAGCATTACAGAGTTCTTTCATCTCTGGAGCTGCTGAGATCCCTGGCACTGCAGACATGGGACTCCTTTGGTTTTGGGCTCTTGCGGTAACTCTTCTCTTCTAGAACTCTACTTGTTGCAGTGATTTACAGCTAAAACTGCTATCAGCATATTCAAAACTTCACGTACGTGATTTTACCTTTCTCAGTATCCAGTTTTCAGTCCCACTTTATTTTCCAGAGAAATATCGCAGCTCAAATCAGCTCCCTGTTCACCCTTCAGCATTCTGTGCGTGGAGATGGTGGAACTCAGCCAGTTCTGTCCATCTGCAGCCAGACAGTTGTCTCTTCACTGTGGCTAGATTGGCTTCAGCTCCTTAGCAGCTCTCTGGCTCCAGTTCCATACTTGAAAGGTTCCTAGAAGATCAGGCAGGGTTGATGGATGCAGTGGCACTTAAAGGGAAAACAAAAAAAAAAAAGGGGAAATGACATGGCCATGACAGAAGGAAAATTTAAAAATAAAATAGGGGCAGCACGACCATGACTAAAGTTGTATCATTCAGCTTTCATTCTTATTTTAATCTAAAAGGTCCAGTTCTATAGGTAATCCACTGGCTTAAAACAGTTCAGAGCAAAATCCAATGTACAAAATCTAGTTCTGATTTTAAGAAAAAATAGAGTGTGTACACTGGAACAGATAATCTCAGTCAATATTTTGGTTTTCCTTTTTTTTCATGAGGTAAGTGATAGGTAAGTCTCTACATTTATTGTAGTACCTTCTTAACATATTTTGGTTTTTAAGAGAGCTCTGTGAGCCAATTATTGTACTTGAGAGGTTTCACAGTTTCAGGATATCAGTAAATTCATCACATTACTGACAGCATTGAATAGTTTGTCTGTATCAACTATAAAATTATTTTTTTCCCATAATATATACCTTATATAGGTGATATTTTATACCGTTCACATAAAAATAGATTTTTTTTTTTATAAATTTATGTACTTTTAAAATATAGATTCTGTTGGATATATATTTAGAGTCAGGCTGAGTTATTTAAATCAGTTCCTTGTCAGTGTCTGACTTGGTATCAGCAGCTACACATTGAACAATAGATTTTTAAGGTGTGACTTCTGTCTGATAGTTCATAAACATTCAAGTGGAAGTTAAACTTCTGCCAACTCCTATGGAAACTGCACAATTGTCCTTTACCAGAATGCCTTACTGAGAGGAGTGATCTGCTTCTCTGGAGTACATTTCACTTCTGTGATTTTCTTTATTTTGGAGAATCAAGAAATATTTAGGGATTATGTTCCAGCTGCTTTATTTTTTTCATTAAAGCATCCAGTGGGAGAGTATGAACTTTTATGTGAGATTGCTTTCACTGGAGATTACTACCATAGACAGATGTTTTTTTCATTGCCTGCTGTAATGGACTGCACGTTTACAGGAGCAGCAATAATGATCTTCAATAAATATCTTCAAAATTAAGGGCCAATCCACCTGTAGGAGCTTTTTTTCAGCCAGATATCACAGACTGAGGCCAAGAGGAGGTAACTTTTAGATAGCTAAAGAATGTGAGATGTAAAAGTTAATTGTATTCAGCTATAGTAATTCATAGATGTGAGCTCAAAATATGTTTGAAGTTATTTTATCAGTCTGATTAATGCAGTTCATTGGTCTGACATAGGCAGTGTTCATCCCACCAGGGATCAGGAGAGCAATGATGACTAAGACCACCTCCTCCTCACTCATGTGGACCAGAATTCCACGCTTGGCGACTCAGTATGTACCTCATAACTTGAGTTTAAGGATCCAAAAATCATGTTTGGACAAGATAGAATAGGATTTGAGGTGTTCTAGCTTTGTATCAATGCAATGTCATCAGTCCTCAGGAGCTGGAATTAGAAATTATCACTGCATGAGTAGCCAAGATGCTGGTAGCCAGCAGCAAGTGCTTCAAGAATGAGTTTGGCACTGTTAGGCCAGTACACAGCTCATCAACAAGTACAAGAAAATCAATATTTGTATTTTATATTTGACTTCAAAAAGCAGACCTACTGAAGGTGAAAGAAGAAAGAAATTTAGATTAGGCTGGTCAGCATAACAGGCTCACAGTTGTAAGGGTTAAAAAAAGTAAAAAATTAATCACCTAATTCACTTTGGGATTTACTTAATAGTCAATCATATAGCATTTTTTTACTGAATACATTTGAATTGATTTCTTCAATGAAAAATGCTGTGCTCTATCACATGTTCAGTTTGTGCAACCTAAAAAGAACTCGAGTAAGATAAATGACACTTCAGTTCTGCTTCTGACTTTTTTTACTGCCCAGTGGTTTTCCTGGTTATTCCTATAGAGGAGAAGCTTTAAAGCTTGGGATACCCATTGTTTCTTCATAAATGCGGTTAAAAGACTGGAGTATAGACATGGCAAGTGTAAGAGATGGTGCCAAAAGGAGGTAAAGAAGTAAAACTAGAAATGTAATAAATACCACGTTGGTTTTAGTTGTGCTAAAGCAGTACAAGCCACTCGTGAGCAAAAGGCTTTCACTGCCCCCAGAATACCAGGGCCATAATTCACATAGAAAATCTCTGAAGGACTACTTAGTTTGATTATGTAGATGCAAAAGTGCCTGATTGATTAATCAGCTAGGAAGTGACAGCTCATGGAAATATTTGGCCACAGTCTAAAAGAGAAAAATGAGGGCATAAAACTAGCAGTACAAGGATAATTCTCCATTCATTACAGACTGTGTGATAGAAAAGGTTTGAAAATTACTTTTGATTATGAAGCCTGGTTCAGCATCAGCCTCTTACTTTCTCATTAGCACTTTTGAAAAGTAAGTCATGTCAGTATTTTTCTTGCACTGCCACTCCATTTCTGTGCTTGTCTTGCTTTTCTGCATTACTGTAGTGGAAGGGATAATTTCCACTTGGATAATTGTCCTCCTGTCATTTAATTGTAAGCCTGAAAACCTCAGATATTTTAAAGTATGATGTATTTTCTCCACTTTCTGTATATTTGCCTTTAAACAAACATAGAAACACCGTGTAACTGCAGGGCCTGGATCTTCAGGCTGCAGTAATGCTTGCTGAGCATTACTACAATGTTTTGTTCCACCTGAACTAGATTATATGGATTCACATTATGTTGGGTTATTTAAGTGAAGATAAAAATCTAGAAAAAGGGAAAGGGTTTTTTGAAGGGCTTTTGCTCTCTGGGAATCACTTTAGACTTAATACTGCTCTGTTTCTTCCATTCTCCTAATTTTTATTATGACATCTGTTGCAAATACAACATGCTTAGCTGAATGTGAAAAAAACAAATGTAAAATGCCTTAAAATGAAATCAGAGATTATTTTTTAAGATAATAGCATAGTCCACCCCAAGCTCTGCCATTTTATGCAGAACAAGGGCAGCCAGAGAAATCTCCTGCTGTTTTTGAGATGACCATTCAGTCCAACCATGACTTGTTAATAATTATGAAGGACCTCTTTCTTCATTACACGTGTGTATCATGGCTTTTCAACCTCAGCTTAGAATTTACTGAGGGAGTAGTACTAATAATGGAAGTGTTCATTCAATAATAGCAAACAGAGATCTGCTTCATTAAGATAGCAAACCAAATGCTTATCATTATGCAATGTGATCCTTGGGACAGCAGCTCTGATTTGTTCCTGCCAACAGCCATAGAGATGCATCTTCTGTTCCCAGGCATTCATTACATGAAAGATCTTTTTTTAAATCTCCAGTTGAAATAATGTAGTGGGTTGACCCTGGCCAGCAACCAAGCCCCCACCCAGTCACTCTCACCCACCCCTCAGCCAGATAGGGAGAGAATTGGATGAGCAAAAGTGAGAACTCGTGGGTCGAGGCAGGGACAATTTAGTAAGTGAAGCAAAGCTTCATGCATAAGCAGAGCAAAATAAGGGATTTATTCAATACTTCCCATCAGCTGGTGGATGTTTAGCTCCTGCATTGAAAGCAGGGCCACAGTGCTCATAAGAATTACTTGGGGTGCCAAAACACCATAACTGTGAACATCTCCACTTCCTCCTCTGTGCCCTAAGCTCTCCTTTTTGAGCCTGTCATAAGGTAAGGAATGTCTCTTAGGTCAGTTCAGGCCATCTTCATCCACTGTGTCCCCTCCCAGCTTCTTGTGCCATCCCAGCCTACTCACTGAGCGGGGAGGAGGTGAGAGAAACTGCTGCTGTGTAAGCACTGGGCAGCAACAGCCAAGGCACTGAGGTGTTAGCACTGTTTGAGTCCCGAATCCAGAACACAGCACCATACAGGCTGCTGGGAAGAAAATTAACTTCACCCGAGCCAGACCCACTACAAATAGTTGTAAGCAACGGACTATATTGAAAAGCAGCTTTGTAGAAATCTCTGAGATTTTTCTAGGCACTTTTGCCACTGTATTCCTACCATAGTTCTCCCTTGCAGATGGTGTCATCAACCCTTTTGGAAACATTCCCTAGATAAGAGTCTACTTATTGGGTGTCTTGTTTGCTGCTGCCCATCACTTCATCACTAAATACCGTCAACATGATGGTTTTAAACACTTTCCAGTTCTTCTTACATTTAAAGAGAACTTAGGTTTTAATTGGTTTTTTTAATTGTTCCAGTCTTCTAATAAGGATATTTCTTCATTTATTTTGTGGAGAATAGTACTGAATAACCTAGGGTAAGAATTGAAGCGTTAAAAAGAGATGAGAATTGTTTATGAATATCTGTGTTACCTGCTGGAAACAGCTCTTGAAAGAGCTTTCCTTAACTCAGACTACCCTCTTTTCCTACCTTTTTCTCCTTTCTTCTTCAGTTAATGGAATTTCTCTGTGACCATCTTCTTATACGTGTTCTCTGGTACTTTTTTTGGTATAAATGAAATTATTCTCTAACATAGCATTCAGTTGCCCTGCAAATGTTAGTATTGCTTAGGTAATCAGAGTTTTGAGAATTTATTTCTGAACTAGAGCAGATCTGCCTAGTGTTGACATCTTTGAAAAGGTTGACTACTTGGAATTCAGTTTTGCCTGGGTGATCCTGCCATTTTCCAGAGAAAAGGGAAGTGTGGCATTAACAATTGTTAACATTTTGTTACAGGGCACTTATTATGAAATGACACCTGAAATATTCTATATTTCAACAAATTATTACTGAGGATGCATTTTGCTTTTGAATTCAGTGGATGATGTTGAATTTAATATTCATTCAGAAGTACTCAGTGCAATTTACAATGACAACCAAAAATAATGAATAATATATTTATATCATCCATTAATAACCATCCATCCATTTAAAAGTTTCATCCTAATGCATTCTGGAAATCTGCAAATTAATTATGCAAAACCCTGAATGAATATAAAATTGAAATGCTTAAGAATTTAAATGATGCAATTAAATGCTATTGCAGGTAACTTGAAGTTATTTTCTTCTAATACTTACTCATCAATCTTAATTTCAGTACCACCATTTAGAAACAGAATCAGCTCCTATATCTTGTCAAAATATTGGAAGTTTGAGCAAAGACTGTATTCCTATTCCTTTGATTACATTATTTCCAGACATGAATTTAAAGCCTTAATTTAAACAGAACTGGCCTTTGTAAAGACAGATTATAATGCTTCAAAATCAGGAGGGTGAGATCAGTGGTGTCAATTCTCATTCTTTAAAAAACCCCAACAAATCCAGCAATGAGAAGTGATGTCAAATCATAGCTACCTAAAAAACTCTATTTAAATTCTGTAGCACTGGCAAATCCATACATAGCTGGTGATGATTAAGATTTTCTAACCAGGCTGCCTGAGAAGTTTGTATACAATATATATTTTTATTATTGTTATTTTTAGTTACATAGCAATATCTTGCTTAATACTTTCTATACCATGCTATACCTTGGGGTATAGATTTATGTCCACGGCAACAGCTCTGTAGCACCCTGGCAGCATAAAACCAATTTCTGTGGAATTTCTGTGCTTCTGCTGTAACCTCAGAGACTAAAGGGCTGGAAAAGGATCTTTCCTGTTGCATTGCAGAGCTCTGTTCCCATCCTTCCTTGTAGGTAAGGTACAGCTCTTCTCCCATGAGCTGTCTAAACTGCTTCTCTCAAAAAGTAGGAATTTTTGTTTTGACAGCTGGCACCCATCCTTCTCTTATGGCTGGTTTGTCTGTACATGCCTTGTCTTGACAATTAGAGAATATACAGGAAAAACCATAAAACAGTTTTTGCAAATAATAATTTACACTGTATAAGAGGTCATGCGTACTCTATCCCAGTTAAAAAGCAGCACAAGGGTGCAGAAAATCCAAGCTGTTGATTGTGTAATAAAATGTGCAGTGAAATCTTCGAATCTGTGTATTCCTTAAGGGTTTGCAGATTTAATGCTTCAGGGTCAAAGGCAGGCATCCACCTTCCCTTCTGTATATCTTGGCCCTTTGGGATTCCTCTCTACAAACATCAGTCTGAAAATCCAGGATGAGTGAGGACTCTTGTCCATTGGAGAGGTTCTCACAGCAGTTGTTTAGCTGTGCTCCAGCTCACAAATACACCTTTTTGCTTTAATAGTAGTGACATACTTTTAAAATCTCTCCCCCAGCTTCACAGTGAGGACTGGAAGGCAGCTCATGATGCTAAAGACTCTTACCTTAATAAGTCACCCTTATTGAACAGGTCAGCCTTGGAATCAAGTTTTCAAGACAAAACAACAGACTAGAAAATAAAAATTCAGGTGAAAACAAATGGTCTGTAGGGTAGGCAAGGCTGAAACACTTTTGGTAAAAAAGTTTGAAAATACTTTGATTTAAAGAGCCTGGTTTAAACTCTGGGGAGAAGGTTTGTTTTGTTGAGGGTGAAATTATTGAAACGCTCATTTTGAAAAACAGCTTGAGAAGGATATCCATCTTATAAAAAATAGTTAACTTTTTTCCTGTACTGTTTTCATTCTCTTTTCACATACAGCAGTAAAATACATAAATTACAGTAATAAAATATCAGATTTGACAGTTTTCAAGCCAAATTTAAGCTAATGAAAAATGTGAAGAAAGTTATTTGAAAGTGAAGTAGTTTTTTTTTTTATTAAGTGGGTTTTATCAAATCATACTTATTCTTAGGTTGCATTATCAAGTCATATGTTTTAAAGGCAAAAACTCATTAACTATTTTTCATATGTTCTTGAATAAAAACAGTCTAAAGTCCCTCAATACAAACACTTTGACTTTTAAATTCTGACTGTTAAATACAATTTTACATTAATAAAAGGATTTTATATGCACATGTGTATCCACACATTATATTTATTAAACAAAATCTAGCATTTGGTTAAGGTTTTGACCATAAGATTTTTGACAGCTGCTACTGAAGTTTCTGTATGACCTCATTTACCCTGGTATTTTCATTGACTAGTTGGGGTTTTTTTACTTTAGTGAAAATAATCTGATTTTATTATAATTTTTCTTCTGTTTTGAAAGCAAAGTAGTGAGTTCAGCAGCATATAACATTCAAAGAGCTGTGTTGTTGCTGAACAAAAAATGGGATGTTTTATCTCTCTCAGAGAACAACTTAAGGGAGCACAGAAACCTGAGGGAAGAGGAGGCCCTTTGCTGATATACGGCTGTTGACTGAACAGGGTAAAGTAGCCTTGGACTCCACTGGAAAGGTAATCGATGTCCTAGTTTCAATCTTCCACAAGTTCTGCAATCTCATCAGAAATACAGGAATAAATATTTAGCTTCCTTCCTCTCCTCCCCTGACACCACGACTTTCTGGATGCAGGGCGTTAGCCGTTGCATTAGTTTATTGATCTTTTAATGTAGGATCTAACTTGCTTCAGGGGCGCTATAAATACAATATTGCAAAAGTCCTGCCATATCAATATTCATTTATTTTTATTGATTAGTTGCCACTTCTAAATTCTGGGTGCTGAATTAATGTATGCTCAATAACTACTTCGACTAATGAAGCAAAAATTGGCTCTAACAACCTACACAAGCTACAGAAATGTTTTCTATTACAAAGCTAATTATTTCTTTTTTTACAATCTGCAATTACTTTCATAATTTGACTTATCCTTGGAACATCACTGGAAGACACAGAATAATGAAACAAAAGCTATTTATGAACTTGAATTATTTACAATATCATACAAGAACATCCTTACTCTAAGTCCTTATTTAAACACTGGAATTAGTAGGTGAATGTGACCAACTTAAAACATTTCAGAAGGTGAAATTTTAGAAGATTGATTTGAGGTGTTGCTTTTTGGTGTGACTGTTTTGGCACACAGAAAAATACATCTATGTCTGTGTCTGTTACTCACACATACAGATATACTGTTGGATGAGCTATAACACAAGGTAGGTGAATATATTCATGAGTGCTTATTCTGAAACATGGTCAAGGTGTCATAGTTGTGCTTTCTATTTCCTCCTTTGCACAGCAGGTTTCTCTTCACAGCACTTGTTTTTCAGTTACCAGTCAATCTTTATATATTTGACATTTGACTTTTATTGAACTGCATCTTTTGCAAAAGATGGGTTTTTTTCCTTTCCTCCTTGTTAAATGTAATGTGGACCTTTTTTTTTTTTTAATTTTTTCCCTGAGAATTCTTCTCTAAACCTTCAAGTCTGCTAGTAAAATTTTCAAGACTGTGATGGTATAAAAGCCCAGGGTTTCCTTTGTTGGGGTTCTCTTCCCTGAGGCACTCAGCTCTAGCTGTTATTTTTTTATTGCCCCATGATTAAATTATTTTACGGATCAGGATGTCAAGACTCTGCTATAGGAAAACTGAGACCAAGCCAGTAAAGAAACCTGGTCTGACTGTGTGAGTGTGGGGATTTAAGTACCTAAGACTAATTTATTTTCATTTCAGAAGTGGCCTATTTTTCCTTTGCAGTATTTGTAAATGTCCTGGGCTCTTTTGACTAACCTGAAGCCATTTGTCTTTTGAATATTTTACAAAAATGCAGAGAATAATTTTGAATGAAAATCCAGAAGTTTGGGTGTGTGTTAACTTACCCGATCTGTTGGACTGAAGTTCTGTAGGGTTCATGATAAGGCATTTTCATGAGAGATTTTATTAGACAAAGAAATAAAACCATCACACCTAAACTTTGATTTTATTTAGGTAGAAATCTCATGGGAGACATCAAAGAGTATGACTTGGGTTTTGTATACATGTATTCATAATATTACTGCCCATTTTAATGGACATTTTTCCAGCGGAAGATAAACTTGGTTTTAAAGTTTAAACGGAGAAAAACTTAGGTAGTTCCTATTTATTTATTTACATTTTGTACTTACAATATTTAAGTGATTTTTGCTATATTTTTTATGGTCTTATATTCTTAATTTTTTTATTTTCATTTATAGGTCAGTATAAATGACATACATTTCCCTGCCTGTGAAGAGGTGAAATTAGGTCCAGTTGATTCCTTTTTAGACCTGCCTGTTAAATGCAGTTGTTAGATTGTATTGTCAAGCTGTATGGAATGCCTTTAACTTATCTATATATATATATATATATAGCACAGGCATAGGCTTGCAGTTACTGGGGAAGTTATGCTGTGTCTCCTTCATTTGAACACAAAGATACAATGACAAATACAATGACTGCTACAGGAAACTGTCCTTAGGCAGGGTTCAACTGATACAATGGAAGGACAAATGCTCATTTTGGAGATTGGTTTGTGAATGCCCAAGTTTAGGAAGGATCCAAGAAAACCCAGACATGTGCATTAGATTAACAAATAGAAAATGAAAGCTTTGGGACAACTTTTGAAACATTTTCTTTTCCAAACATCACCATTTCAGTTTTCCTTAGATCGGTTTCCACCAGCTGCTCTTACAGGAGGTGATTTTCCGTGGCTAGTCAAACATCCATAGAGGAATACATGTTGGATCTGCTCAGGTTACACATGTACATGTAATGATACAGCAAATGATACATAATCAAATGTAATAGTGTAATGTTGGCAGATAAAGCATATCCTATCTTGTAGTTTCTCCCCAAAGAGAAAATCCCCCAGACCTCCCCAAACAAGTCACTTCATATGAGATAAGAACGTGGTCTTTTGACTTCTCAAGTATCTTAGTAATATGTGTGTTTATGACATCTAATCTTAGCTGACATCATTCATGCCCTAGTACATGGTATAATGTATTGTAGTGTAATGTGATTGATACAGCCTGATTTGCAGGGCTCTCAAGGACAAATGGGTTTGGAAAATGGGTGAAGAAAAGGTCATTTCTTCAATATAATTGCCAAACTCTTTTCTACAAGAACAACTGGTTTAAAGGATTATCGAGAACTGAAGAGGATTTGCTGTCACATTAGATACAGGTCAAGAGTTTGTGAGTTTTAAAAGGTAATTAACATAAGTATTTTAGTGGTATTTTGTGTATAAGAGTGAGTTCTGCTTCTGTGTGCGTATAAACTCAAATCTGGCTTGCAGGTGTAATTCAGTCACGGGGGGGGAAAGATGGAGCTGTTCTTGCAACAGCTTTGCAAAGCACAAATTCTCAACAGCCTCTGCTTCAAAGAGAGAATACCTGGATCCCATTCCCCCAAATACAAACCCAGTGCTCCTGTTCTGGCAACCTGCCTGTTCAGCTGGTGGCCGTAGAGAACAGGGAGCTCTAATTCTTTCCCAGACACACACTCCCTTTTCAGCTGTCTTTTGTTCCTAAATCTTGGCCTGTTTTCAGAGAGAAAACTCCTGATTCCCTTCTAAATCTGTACTTGAATAGGTACCCGAAGGAAAAAACTAAACCAAAACAAAACCCAACCAAACAAAACAACAAACCAAACATAGATAGGTTAATTAAACTTCTTTAAATTTTGTCACATTAATCTCTTTAAAGGAGGAAGTCCATGAATTCATCACTGATACAGGATGTACAGAGTTTAACTTTTATTTTGAAGTCTATCATTGGCCTGCTGAATAGCATAAGGATTTGATTATCTCATGCCAGAGATACCCTATTTATAAAGTACTGATAAAGATGCTACTTACTTTGTAAAATGCTTTCAGAGCTATGGTTTCTATGAGAGGATTAGTTTGTAATTCTGTCAGCAAACCTGCTTGTATTAATGAAAACCCCAATCATACAATCAGTCTTTTTAAATTTGGGGTTTAATTCCTTAAATAATGCCAGTTTGTTGCTCTGCAGACAACACCATAGGCTAGGCACCGATGTGTCTCAGAAGCCACTCCATCTCTTCCCTGCATGTTGTGCTGTTCCTCCTCCCTCCTGTTCCTGAGTAATCCTCCTTTCAATTTTAGTGAGTCAGACAAATGTTTCCAAAACAATCTTTGAATGATGGCTTTGTAAGCAGCTAAGTGAAAAGGGAAATGTGCTGTGCAAAGCTTCTTTGTTTATTGCTTTTGCTGACTGCCTGAAAGTGAGGTCACAGTAAGCTCAGAGGGCTTGATATAAATGAAATAATTTAACAAGAGAATATATCTTCAGAAAGATGACACTGCAAAATGCCACACTTACCAATCTCCCATACATACCTATCATAGTTGTCATTAAAATGTGATTATATATATATGAAAATTTATATGGCTTCCAGATTTATGCGACTCAAGCATTATTACTACTGTAGTTTCACATGAAAATAAATCAATCCAGCATCAAAATGAATGCATGAAAGCAAACAGTTTCAGTTCCTGGGGTCATCACAACCTCACTGAGACTGGGAGGTCTCCCAATGATATAGAAGCAGAAAATAGTGGCAGGATTCTCTTAATGCTGCTGGCAGAAAGAGGGATGGATTTTCAGAGTAAAGAGTTCTGCGATGTGCCCTTTACATATATTCACTGATTCCTTTGGCTATAAGTGCATTTACATCTGAGCAAAAACAATGATCTCTTTTAAAAAGTTCAAGAGCCATGTTATCAAATATTTTTTATATTGACCATCAATGTAATAATAAAAAGTTTGGATAATATCTACCACTCCTATGTCAGAATTCAGAAAAGTTCTAAAATAGCAGTCATCATATATTTATGCAACTAGATTAGCCTTGGGCTCTGGAGTTTATGGCATTAATACCATTAATTTCTAATGAGCAATGTAAAAATACCTAAGATGACAAGAAAATAGGTTTTGTTATTTTTTATTAACAGGTTTTGTTATTTTTTATTGATGTGTCATAACAATGCAGAGATTTTTTCGGTTTATTTTTCTTGGATTTTAGCAGATGGTGTTATTCAGCCAGTAAAGTGTATGTAGGTAAGTGGATGCATGTTCCCACACTTTTTTTAAGAACAAAAATTACTAAGTTACAGAGTGGAGATCAGAAGTCAAAAGTTGCTTCTGTATGGAGTGTGAAGAGTAACACTATTTTTGTGCTGGTCTATAGAAACCTGTGCAGAAGAAATGAAATTGGTATCTTAGGTATTTAAAGGTGAAAAAAGCAGTTTTACGTTCCTGCTCCTCTCTGAACAAGCACTAAGCTGCTTTGCTGCTCTTTTATCCAAGAGAAATAACTTCCACAGTGATGCTGATTCTTTTTCTTTGACATTTACCACTGGCAAGCGAGAGCATCATTCTCTTTCATTGCTTGGAGTACTTACACACATTCCTCCAGTGATCTGTTTTCATGACTTGTGCTTTTCCTCCGAAGCTTGACCCTTTTAACAAGACCTGTAT